TTATTGATCGCAATTCTAAATGTACGTATCAGATTAGCGTGGAACGGTGGTGGACTCGAATGACTCACAAAATATTTTGATGTGTACAATATATACAAAGCATATATATCTATATATTATGAATATACAGTGTATATGAATTTTTAGTACACGGTACATACATTGGATATCGAATGCATGTTGTACATAGGAAGTCCTAGGTATGTACATACGTATGTACACGCTTTACACATTTTATGTATATACATGACGTTTATTGATTTGTTATCCAGTGCAGGTACATGTACTATATAAGATATACATGTATATACATAGGATGTACATAATTTGTACGTACACATGCATATAATATACATAACATGTATGTATATTTGTATATTCAGCAATGTACAGACATGCCACGTGCAATGTATATACCCATATGAAATGAACATCAAATAAAGATATGTTATGTATATACATAATATGTGTAACTCATGTACATACATATGATGTATATACCTCCGATCTTCAATGTACATACATACATACATACATACAATATTGTTTCAGTTGTATTTTACATTGTTTAGATTTAGAATAAAATTTTATCGTGTACACTTTTTTATCTTAAATGAAAGTTTAAACACGATACGTCCAATTAATTGGCTTACGTGTCTTGTATAATAATTTATGTATGAAATTGTAATTTATTGGATGTATTATATAGTATATATCTACATATCGTAAAGAATATACAAATTATAGACATCTAATGGACACACATTTAATATCAGGCACTGTATATACATATTGAATCCGTGAATATACATATTACTTATGTACTGCACTGTACATCCAAACTATGTATATGAGACGTATATGTATACATTTCACATACAGGATATTTTTCTCATGTCATGGAGGAAAAATGCGTATATATAGGACATCCGACGTTATGTGAGGAGTGTCTAGAACTTTCGACCCCCTTTGTCCATTGCGCCGAAACATCTCGCTGAAATGCGGGCGCGCGTCTGGAGTGGAAGCATTAATTTTAATTGGATTAAAAGGCCGAGCGGGCACCCGTTCAAGTTAATTATCGTTACTCGCGTGGCCGTCAGTTCGCATTAACCCCTTACCACCGCAATTGCGCTAAATTCCATTAAGTTCTGCCCGCCATCTTCCCTTTCGCAGCCACACGCATTGCCATTGCAAAACAAGCTGTTGTTGCCGAATGTACTTTGTAGAGCGAGATGCGAGGGACTCGTGCGCACATTTCACGGTTACGTAATTGCGTTTCATTCATTTTCTTGGAATTCCATGTTATTCTCTGCTCTCGTCTTCCGGTAAAAACGAGTTTCTTTTAAATTATTCTGCTACACGTGTCTCCCTTGCGACACAAACTGAGCCGAATTTTATAGAAAAGAATAGAGGCTAACGCGTCTCTGTTGTTGCAAGACCACGATTGTACGGTGATGGGCAAAATGGTTGCAACACTTTTTCTTTTTTAATGAGTTTAGAAACATGCAATTGCATTCAGGATTACGTTTGAAAATTTTCTCCGAGAAATATTGGATGAAGTTCCGAATAGGTGGACCCTCCGATTTTTGTAAACTACACTATTTTTTGTATTTTTGAACGCTGATTACGAATATAACAATAAAAATTTGCGACAAGGTCATTTTCAAGGTCAAAAACTAAAAAACTGAAGAAATATAACTTTTTAGATTATTTATTATTTCGATAAATATTGATGTAACAAAAAAATGTTTCAAATAAAAGTTGTAGTTCTTCTAAAAATACATTATTTATGATCTATACATTTTTTTGCGTAAAACTGATAGTTTCGATGCTAAAGACTAAAACCGGCTATGGTTCCGCAAACAACATACTCGTATTTCTGATTGTGCTGGAATTTTAGCCAAAGCTTTATAATTGATTAGAGATGAATACCTCTAAAAGCATTTTTGGCGACAAGACTTTTTCCTGTCCACCTTCCCCTCAAAGTTTCAAAAATTTTTAGGGAAAAATCGTGTTTTGTTAGGAGGGCGGAACTCTTTATTACCTCCATATAATATTAAAGGTAAATATATCAATGATTCTAAGGGAACGGTTAGAAAGAGACAAAGCTATTCACTTCTAGCATTTTCGCTATAGTGTAAGATACAGAATTGACCCACCAGAATCTAAGTGGCGTTCTTAAGCGCACAAAAAAGGTGTTGCAACCATTCTGTCCATCACTGTGCAATCTGCCTAATTTATTTTTCTTGAATTTCATGCTACGCTGTCCTTTTTTTCTCAGCAGAAGTAACTTCCTTTCAAATTATTTCGCTTTGTTTCGTCAACCGTCTCGACATTCACCACTCGCGTGCATGAGCTTTCGTAGCTCTAATTTTAGCAAAACCGTGATCCACTAAACAGTCATGGTATTTGTAAGCGTGCTTATACATATTATAAAGTCCGAACTCTAGTCATATTAAAAATGGAATTTGATCTTGTTAAAATTAAGTGTCGTGAAATATTTTGTATAGAGGGAAGTCCTCTATTATGAGATAGGCTTCTAATGCGAAATAGCGGGTTTTCAACATTAAAATTTAATCGCAACGAGAGATGACCAAACGCGCGCTTCGCGCGCGCAGTTTGTGGTTGAGCATTGTATATTTTTAAGAATTTCTATACATGCAAAGAAGTAATTGTATGCGCAACGTCAATTTAAAATAAAAAATAATTTATCACTCACTGATACGATTTGCAACCGCAGAGTTGTATGTACATCATGTATGTTAAACTGTAAAAATACAAATATGTATATGATTAGTATAGACTAATTATGTCAAATCAAAATTATTGTACTAAATATGCTTCATATTTTATATTTTAAAAAATAGGTATTTATTAAGAGAATTATATAAAATACTGAGAAAGTCTTCCTTTTAAATATAAATTCACAAAATTTTATACACTGGTTTTGTCTCTAACACTTATTCGACTCCTCGTTCGAATAATTTAAATAAATAAAATAAAAACACAGAACAGATGCTTTATTTTGCACAAGTAACAATTAAATAACATAAAAATGTAAGACACTTACCTTACGATTTCTCCGCTGTTGCCCGATGCCTCCTCGGCCTCCTCTCAGATTTCCTTGTTGCACTTACACAACACTCACTCGCGAAAATCATCGATCGCGCGAAATTTCCGGCACTCCCGTACACGATGTGATATACCGCGAACACACGAAATATTATTAACTTTTGCGTTATCGGTTTCCAAGACTTTCTGTCATACAAATTACTCAAACTAACAACTTGCATTTTTTTATTCGGAAGAATAGGATAATGGATAAATCACTTTCGAATTGGCGATATAAAACGCAACGCGAGCATCGAAAGCATAATCTGCGGCAAAGAAATAATGTAACGACGTGCAATAAGACTTTCTTTACTTCCCGCCTGTTCGAGTTACAAAGAATGACAGAGCGAAGTCGCACAAATTTCTCTTTTTTCCCGAAAATAGAACAGATTACACGAGATCGACAGATAATTAAAAGCGCGGTGCGTAAACGAGATGTAACCGCGACAAAGTACCACAATTTACCTTCATATTTTAGATGAGTTAGTCTCGTGAAATATCTAGGTACACGTTGATAAAGAACCGTCGCCTCAATATACAATTCGTTTCTCTTTGCAAGTGGTAGAAACTTAATGATTAATCAAGGAACGTTACTTGTTACTGATAAAGGTGTGCAAATCAATAGTTTTTTATCCCTGCATTCATCGCGATCGAGTCTTGGAAACCGATAACGCAAAAGTAATACCACGCACGGAGCGACTCTCGCCACTGCTTGCCGGCTCGACGTTCGGCGAGCGAGTAATAGCGCGGCGACCTTCAGGTACACGATGGCGTGCAAAAACATCGTACGTCATCGCACCGAGAGAAAAACAACAAAAAAACGTTGAGAATTCGTTGGCCCGCTTAGGCCCGGTCTACAATGAGTTGTTAGTCGTTAGTCAGAAGTCGGAACTATATGTCGGTCCTTTTTCTTCCACCCAGAAAGGAAAAGGATCAACATATAGTTCCGACTTCTGACTAACGACTCATTGTAGACCGGGCCTTAATCGTCGTACGATACCGCGCCGAGTGAAAAACAACAAAAGAACGTTGAGAATTCGTTGGCCTGCCTACTCTGGGAAAAAAAAAGTCAGTTACAACCCATTTTGGGGCCCACAATTAGTAATCGAATTATTTAGATTGTTCGTAACTCTAATCTTTTACGAATTTTATCTCGCTTAACTAAAAATCACAATTAGCCGTTCTATCTGTATCCAAGATATTAGAGTAATGCTAATCAATTCTCTCAATTAGTTCTATCGATATTCAGTAACGCAAAGATAATTTTCACTTAAGTGGCAATAACCGAAATGTTAAGTTGCTTAACTACATCAAAAAACGGTCAAAATTTTTCCCAGAGTAGAGTTACGAACAATCCAAATAATTCGATTACTAATGGTGGGCCCCAAAATGGGTTATAACTGTCTTTTTTTTCCCAGAGTACGCAATGGAAAATTCCGTACTTAATATTTTATTGTACATTACTTTGTTCCGTGACTGTTGCTACGTTTTGCGTATTATTCCGCGGACTTATTGGTATTGATTAAATTAACGGTTAATTCTGTTCAATCGAGAAAATGTTTCGAAACGAAAATCGTTGTTACTTAAATTCTAATTACTAAGATTAGAGATTTTACTTCAATAGTTGATGCATACAAATGTATATTTCTAAATTGCAAATCTTCATTCACTATGAATCTAAAAGAGAAGTGAAGCGCATCGCGCTTCGAGAAAACCAATCGACATCGCAGAAAAGAGGCCTTAACTGTTCAATGTTAACGACATTCGCGCTGGTAACATCTCTTTTTTAGAAAGAGAATCTTTATCAACAACGATTACACGATCTAACAATGAATTGTCCACTAAACGGATTTCACTCCGAGGGCAATAACTTCACGACGAAACCAATAAATGATGCCTATTAACTTAACAAAAACCCTGCTATCTCATAATAGGGGACTTTCTTCTATACATCGACATAATATTTCGCTTAGAAATTTGTTGTACTATACTAAACAAATATACCACTTCACAATTTTGTAAGCGCTATATCAAGTTGCTCTTAATTTTCTCTCTTATTACAATACATAATAACAGAATAAATATTTAATAATGAAAACGCATGATTTGGCCAATATTTCGCGAATGAAAAAATTTTATTTCTTTATCGCAGCAAAGTAGCTTCCTTGTTTTAAAATTGCAAAGTCCAATTACTCTTAGTCAATCAATGTTACGTTAGTAACACGGCCTTTCAGGCGATAACTTGAGAAATGACATCGCGAATGCCTTTGCTTGTTAATAAGTCGCTACCGCGATAACTCTTTTGTCCTTAATAAATTCGACGCCGAGCCCATCTGTACGAGTTTCCCTCCTACGCGGCATAACATTTAGCGCAGTTAATACGCGCAATCAATAATGTTTACGAGTACCCGTGACGACCGTTTCAATGAGCCACTCCTCAGCTATAAACACACTCCGTGCATTGAAATTCTCATAGCGGAGCGCTGCTTAATAATAGGGTACGCACATGATGCCCCCGCTTTGCCATAAATTACTGCCGCGTTAATACCGTGAAATGTGTCGCGTGTAATGCGCGACATGCGCGATCTGCGAAATGTGAATCTTTATTGTTGCAGTTTGGGATACGCGCGTTAGATCGCGGCTGGTAACATACTTCAGGAATGCACAGTGACTCACGTAAGCTCGCTGGCATATTTCTAGGATGACGCTTGGCTCTCGCCCGCCTGAAAATTCGGGATATAAATATTCTCTCCTGTCGTTCTGTTCGCATTCGCATCGTACGACGCGAGCGATGTTCCCTCAATAATTCGTTCGACACGCGGAAGGCTCTTCTTCGCGATAAGAGAACCTCGAGGATTAATTAAGGATCGCCGTTATTCATATTTCCTATTGTGCACCGACAGCATTTACTAATTGCACAGAAACAGCTGTCCCAAATGTTGTTATTTATTGTAGTTGTGTCAATCCTAATTATGCATCTGGCAACCATATTGGTTTTTCCGCGTGAACGTAATATTTTATACGCATATACGTATGTGCACAACCGTTTTTCCAAAGGTCTATTCCGAGGAGTAAACCGTTGAGGGCATTGTGGTGTACAGATTTGCGGCATGCCGCAAGTAATGCATTACTGGGCATTACTAGGTATTTTTTTTAGCATTCCCATACAGCACAGAAAGGTTGCAGAAAGATTGCAGAAATGTTACATTGCAAGATTGCAATATTGCAGCAACGTTGCGCGACATTGCTGCAACGTTTCCGGAGGATTGCTGCAGTAACGTTGAAATGTCCGCCCTCAGAAAGATTGCAGTGCAACATTATAGCATTGTTGCAGTGCAATATTTTTGGAATAATTTGTTGTTGTTGTACATAAACAGAGAATTTACTAATTACATATGCATCCGGGCCTTTTTCAATACACAGCAAGCTACTGCGAAGCAACCTAAGGAGATTATGTCGCTTCGCAATAGATGGAGATTGCGAGCAACACCGCACTGATCAAGTACTTAATAATTCGCGCATTATTGGTATCAACGAAAATAACATTATAAAATTTTCGTAATTAGAAAAATTTTTTAAGTAGAAAATATAGTATTTTTATTATTTTTGAAACATTGCTGCAATATTGCTATCGAAAGTTTGCAATTTTATATCCCTGCAATGTCTCTACAAGATTGCACTGCAATCTGCAAGATTGCAATGTTTCTGCAATGTAACTGCAACCATCTGTGCTGTATGGGTTAGTTTGGGCATTAGGCCTTGCTGGGGCATTATAAAGATAAAATAAGATAAAATAGGATAAAATAAGATAATAAGACAGAGTAATGCCCACTAGGCATTAGTGGGGATTGGTTCATAAGATTTTGGTCAGTGATTTCCCCCTCGGTTTATTCTTACTCGGTGCCATTTTCTGACAGCACATTTTCCGTAGGTTCAAATATACAGTAATTTTGTTCTGTAAATTTGTTAAATACTGAAATATCAAGAGACACGGTAGTGTCTCGCGTTAAGTATAAAGCCCGATCTACAATGTCCCAGCGTCTAGAAACATTCTATTTTATACAAGCAAATTTGAACGCTTGAAAAATTTGCCGACAATGTATTATATAATTACAATTTATCAACTTGCAGAATTTTTTAAACGTATTTATTGGCTACAAAGTAGACAGCGTAGTGAAAACTGCGCGCGCGATACCGATTAAAATATACACCGACGTTTTTCTAAAGATTTCCTTCGACTTGGTGCCATTTTTTCATCATACACGGAAAAAATGTGGCTGCCGTAGCTAAAACCTGCATGTGGTAACTAAATTTCAGTTATAAAATATGGACAGCTAATATTTAGTTGTGATAGCTAAATATTTGGTTACTGTGCCTATTGTACATATTGGGTGCGACAGCAAACTGCTGTGGTTTCGAAATTTATAGCTATGGCAGCCAAATATCTTTAGCAAACCATGACTAGCTATGGTAGCGAACATTTTCTTTCAGTTTACTCTTCATAGATTTAGTAAATCTTATAAATATAACTAAAATTAGCACCGCGAGCCTGCAACGCGACCTTGCAATCTCGATTCTTCAAACGGACTCATTTACGGCCGTCCTGAATACCATTAGTGTCTTCCTGCATCTCACGTCGCCCGACAGACCAGCCGATCGCAAAACGTTTAACACACGGCAATTATTCATTCGAACCACATCTCGGTCGTTCGACGATTAACACCTGTGGATTTCCTGGATGATTCTCGCGACGACGGGATTATCCTAACCGGAAGTCTACCCGCGTGAAACGAAGTATAAAAGAGCGTGCTTGTTCTCTCAATGGGCGACATTGACACTAACCTTGTCGATATTAATTCTGGAAAAGAAAGAAAGATTGTTCTGTGGTTTTAGTCGATTGAACGTCTAAGAGTCAAGACAATAAATCGAAAGAGCCGCGATTGCCTCAAAGTTCATAGATAGATTAATTTTAGTGAACCCGCGCCCTCATAACAAATCCCGATTGGCCACGAAACCTCAGGAATCAGCGAAACAGACGGGCGCAATTATGACTCCAACAGGCCAGAGTTTCAAAACTGCAATGCCGTCTCAGGGATAGCCAGCAAGGAGAAACCTATTAATCTATTCCCGTCGATCTTTGAAAACGCAAATCGATTATCCGCGCACCAAAATTCGCAATTAATTCACACTGTCCAATTTCCAAAAACGCAAATCAGTCACCCGATCATCCGTAATGATTCATTTCTCTTCTTCCTTCCCGAGTTACACCTTCTTTTCCTCTTGCCAATCGGGTAGATGTCCCTCTTCTCCAACGCCCCCTTCTTCTTCTCCTCCCCTTCTTCCTTCGGAAGAAGAGCTCAGGAACCCGTTTCCGACGTACTCCACGATTTCGAGTGTGGAGCTTATCGAAGAAGCTCCCTCCTCCTTCTCACATTTTAGCTCGTATATATATTCTTGGAGCTATGGCTATAGGAACCTATGGCTTTGATCCGAAGACTCTTCTGTCAATTGTTACAAACGTTCGATCGGACGACGGTATTACAGCTTACTCCCCTCGTTTAGTTCCTGTCCAATTGTTCTGCGCACTCTTTCCGGCTACTGCCGCGATGTTAGAAAAAGTCGGATAACTCGTCTCCTTCCCTCATCACATGTACACACACGCGCCTACACTATAATACACAATAGTGTAGCCTACGTGCGGCTACATACAATGTTGTATTATAAATATAATACTTGTATGTATGTATGTATGATTTATTGCTTCCTTTCGGTTACAAGGCGTTTTTACGGAACGTTCCCAAACCTCTCGACTCTCCTCCTCCTCTCTCTACATTTTCCATATCTTACATGTGTTGGCGCTTTTTCAGGGAGCGTTCCCGAACCCAATATAATACTTGTATATAGCTAAATTTGTAAATTTCTACCGAACTCTAACTTTCACACCGTCTATCCATATTCTTATGTAATATTAATATTTAAAATAGAAAACGAGAGAGCCTTTTGGTCCAAACCAGATGTAGGTAGCCCCTCCCTCCCCCCGATAGGAAAATATTGTGCAATAATTGTATTAAGGTGATCCGCCAAAACGCAGTGGTTTCGTGAGAATAAAATTGTAATAACGCTTTTAATCGGGACATTGGTCTATGTCTGAAACCTTAGAAAAGTACACTCACCCGCGAATTGCAACACGCAGTTCAGGACCTTATTGTTAGTGCGACTTCTGCATGAAGTCCTGAAAAAAATGGTTAAAATAACTATAATCTCACTATATTTTATATATTTTATATATTTTATAAACACTCAAAAAAATTAACGCAACAAGAAATTTACATCAAAATTTGGCGAATTTCAAATAAGCGTAACTTCGCGAAAACTGGTTGAATTGAAAAGTTTTTTTTCATTTTATAGGGCAAAGCCTCTGCTTTAAGAAGCTCTTATTGGAATTTGCACTCACTCTTCCCATTTCCCGGAACTTTCTCAAAATCATGACCATGTTTTTTCTCTAAAAAATTGCACACTTTGACGCATTGTGCGGAGTGTAGTAATTTTTCTTCGCCAGTTCTGCTTACGGTATCAAAAAGTGTGTACTTTTCTCTTCAATTTAAAAAAAAAGAAGTTCCTACGATTTTTTTTCGCCAAATCCACAGCTCATTGAAATAACCCTTGTGTTTTCGACATTACCGATAATATCTCCGTTAAAAATCATCGTAGCAATATCGTTTTTTTTTTAAATTAAAGCTTGCACTTTCAGCTTCAAAAACTAGTCACCAGATTTTTCCTCGAATGCATCTGCGCTGCTGTAGCTTTCTAAATGTAAGGACATGTTTTTACCTAAAAACTAACCAATTTTGGCCAGGTGCCCGGGCGTAGGAAATTTTTCCTCGCTAATTCTGCTCGAAGTATCAAAAAGTGTGTACTTTCCTTTTAATTTAAAAAAAAAGAAGAAGTTACTGCGATTTTTTTCGCCAAGTTACAGCTTTTTGAAGTAACCCTTGTATTTTCGTTCATTACCGTCGACATCAGCGTAACCCAATGTGTACGTGGAGGTTGCCGTTCGGATTTTGCACATCGTGTGGCCCTGAAGAGGACCAGTGGTGTATTCATATCGAACATACTGGGATATGATGGGAAGAAGGCTGCGTGACTTGTAGGACCACAT